GTTTGGCCAAGGAGGGGGCATTTAAGCTCAGTGTGTCAACTGGAGAAGGGATAGTCCAGGCAGAGGGAACCATGGGCAGAAGCAAGGTGAATAGCATGGAATGCCACAGGAGGCATCCAAAAGTCATACTCAGTTCATTTTAACAAAGATAACTTTGTGTTTAGTAGCATAGTCATACAACCACAATTGCAGGGGGTTCTGTCTTCATTTTTCCCCAGTATACTTTCGGTTTGTTAACTATAAATATAGGCACACTATTTTCCAGTTAGTAGACAGTCCAATCTGCCTTGGCCATTTAAAAAAACTCCTCATAGTTATTTCTTTTTCCTGATTTAGATTCTGTTGATTTAAACCAGTGGTTCTCCACCGGAAGGGGGGAAGATTTTGCCCCCAGAAGACATTTGGTAATGTCTGGAGACATTTTGGTTGTAACCACTGGGGGTGCTACCGGCATCTAGTGGGTAGAAGCCAGGGAGGCTGCTGAATATCCTACAGTGCACAGGACACTCCCCAACAAGAGAGAATCATCTGGTCCTAAATGTCAATAGTGCCAACATTGAACAGCTCTAGCTTAAAAATATATATTTTAACACTGTTTTCTGTTTTCTTTTCAGAACTATTTATCAATGAAGATTGTGAGGCCAAATGCCTAATGAAAGCAAAGGCTTCTTTTCAAGAGTCCCCAGGAGGGAATCCTGTCTGTTCTGTGGACCACTGTCGAGTGTGATTTTGTCCGTGTCAGAGACTGCACCCCAGGAGCAGGTTGCACGTCCCTGAAGCCCATTGGTGACCAGAGGGCCTAAATCCTGGAAAGTCCGGCCAACAAGCAATATTTTTATCTTGTTACCTTTTGAAGTATTAAAAGTTTTATTATCTAAAGTTTTAACTTTGTTTTTCAGAATATTTTTCAAGGTGGCTGGTTCCATTTAAAAATCATTTTATGTGTCCTTAGTTCTATAGTTCAATTTTTGGAAATTGCTCATTTAGAATTTGAAGTTTTCTATAGACTTCTTATTTGTAATCAAGAAAAAGGACTGTGCATTATAAAAACAGTTAGACTAGTTAAACTCTTATTTATGCCTGCAACCATTGTTATATTTTGTACGGATAAATGAGACTCTACTCAACTTCTGTGATGAATGCAAATAAAAATGTTTTGCCTTTTGCACAAAGTTGTTTGTTGTATCTGTGGGCCAAGGTGGGGCAGAGGCAGTTTTTAGCTTCCTGGTCTCAGTGGATGGAATGCTACGGCATATACCACTTGACAATAAACCCCTTGTAAGTGTGCTGCTAAATTTGGGCCAGTAGGTCAAACTGGGGCTAATATAATAAATAATAAAAGCTAACACTTATTAAAGATACTTATTCTATGCACAATACTATTTTAAGGGCTTTAGGTGTATTAATTCATTTAATCTTCAAGGTAACCCTATAAAGGTAGGTGACATTATTAACCCCATTTTGCAGTTGAAGAAATTGAGGCACAGAAAGGTTAAGTAACTTGCCCAAGGCCACACAGCCAATCATGGGCAGAGCTGGAATTTGGACCTGGGCAATCTGGGTTATCTCTTTCCTAACTTCTCTTGACCACAATACTACACCACCAGAAGGAGGTCTGTCAAGAGGCACACTGAGCTGAGGGGCTCAAGTAATACGTGATCCCATGCCAACACCAAGGATGGTCAGCATGTTTTCTAGAACACGGGAGAACATTGTGCTGGTCATGCATGGAAGACCGTGGTGAGATCAGGGAACAGTTCTATTGAAGCAGCAGCATAGAACTGAGGGGAGCAAGAAACATGCAATAATGATGATGCTTTTAGACCCATAGACACAGTTACGCTGCCAGGGTGATCATGTTGGTGTCCTTGCTGAGATGTTTCACATTCTGATTCTATTCAATGTCCAGCCCATAAGGCTAGCATTAAGTGTGCTCAAGGCATA